TTGTGATAGTTCAACTGATCTTATTTTTTTCTTTTGGTACAGCACAATTATTGCTTCAGCCTGTTTCCACTAAGTTTAAGTCTGTACTACTCAGTCTATCTATTAATTATAAAAATTTAATTAATATTACTACTAATATTACTAATGTTATAAAAAGTAACTGAAAGTAAGATGAAAGAATCAGAAGACAAAAATTAATAATTGTTGACAAGGTTTCATCAATTAAGTATAAAACTCTAATTAATATTACTGCTAGTAATACTAAATGTTGTAAAAACTAATTGAAATTAAGATGAAAGAAACACAAAAAAGAAATTAGTGATACATTATTAGAATATTCTATTAATTAGTTTCAGACAAAATAAAAACCTTCTTTTACTGAAAATTATTAAGTATTATAATTATTAGATGTAACCGTAAGTTTTATGCTAATAGTTTCTTCTCTTGCACTTCTCGCTTGTGGGACTCTCTTCTGGCTTCTTGTTTTCCAGTAAAGCTTGATCTTCAAAAAATCTAAATGCAATGTCAATAGTTATCTTCTGTGTTCATAATTTCTGTTCTTTTATTGTCCTCTCTCCTTAATAATGTTTTTCTTTTCCTCATATTCTTTCAGACTCAGTAACCCATTGTGTCTTACATGCTTTATTGACTTGCTTCATTTGAAATGGTTAAAAAAAAAATACAATATTCCTATTGAGTGAATTAAAATTTAATGAACTTACAATTTATAGAGAAAGATATAATTTATCCAGCATTTAAAAATTATTAATCTGCAAAGTTTTAGCTTTTAGTCATTGTTATGTACCATACCTATGACCACTAATGGGTATGTCATAATCCTCATAAATTTGTTAGACACTATTGTAAATGGTGGTAATATGCTAAGTAGTCCACCATTAGCAGTGGTTTACCTACTTCACGCCGCTGGCGAGTATTGTATTTTGTTGATGTTATAAAGATTACCATTTTATTTCCCACTTCTCTTTTGGTTATTTCTCATTTAGTAACTTTTCCTAGGTTACAACAGTCATTTATAGTTATTAGAAATGTTATGCTCTTCAGTTAATACACTTTCAAATAGAATTTAATATATTTTAAATATTCACATGTATCCTTGTGTCTAACACTTGACCTGCACTTTTATTATAAATAAAATACAGTGTATCAAGTATTAAGTCATAACAACATATTCCTTTGTTTTTCATAAAGAAAAACTTTACAATCTATATAAATTAAGATTTCATAAAAATCTTTCTTCACAAACACTACAAGAAAATTCTACACCTGTTGATTGAATTGAGGGTTCAGTTTGAAAGTTATCAACTCTCACAAATAACTGAACAAAGCCAAAGGGTACAATATCCAAAGCATTGTGACAATAACAACCAAGATGAAGATGCTAATCTAAGTAAATCCTTTTATCATACTTTTCAAAACTCTTCTGAAAAGAGATGCAATAAAAGGTCTTGTAGGAAAGTTATAAGCCTATCACAATTTCCATGGTTAAAATTCAAATGAGCTCCATAATTTAGTTCCACCAGTTCAGACCATTACAGCTATGATTTGCCATGCTATGCCTACAGAGTTGAATCAATATCTGTCTATATCTCTGAGATGAGGCATTATGATTACTTACATTATTTGGACTGTTATCCTCATCTTCACTACCATATTCACAACATTTCAGCCATTGTACGCTCTGGCCTTCTTCAGGTGAGTGTATTTCCAATCAAACCCTTTATTTCGTCCACCAGGGTAGATTGTTCTAGTTCCACATGCCACATAAGAGAAAGATTTTAAAAATTCCAACCAAAATTAGTACTGGTTGCTCAGTTAATGAATGCTGAATATTTCCTTATAAGGAAATGACTGATATTACTGTTAGTATAAACAAGAGGATCATAACCTCTGCCCAAAATGTCTTTAAATTTAGTTTCTAAAATAAAAAGGTTTCATATCTCAAATATTTGTAAATCCAGATGTCCATGCCAACACATCTTTGATTAGGTGATATTATGCTTATCAGAGAGACCCATCTACAGAATAATCTGTCCTGGGCTGGTATTGGCAAAGGCTCCTGTAGGAGGTCAAGTGTTGCTGGATTCTGTCCATCCAATTTCAAATCTCAATCAGACGCAGGTTTTCCCTCCAAACAAGACACCTCCATTGCTGCATTTCAAAGTGACCCTGAGGTAAGTTCAGAATAGTCAATGCCATTTTCCTAAACAAACAAAATAAACATAAAACTCTGCCAAGTGGACATTTATGGCCAAGAAACTTTGAGTGTTGGCAAGACATGATGAATGGACATTGATAATACAGGTCAATAATAACAGCTTTGTCTCTCCCTCTGTGTGTGTGTATATATATATATATATATATATATATATATATATATAGATATATATATATATAGATATAGAGATATATATATTCATATTTGTATAATAAAGGCAAAATGCTAAAGATAGCGCTCAGAGTAAAATATAAAAATATACAAAACTGGGACAATATAAAATATCAGTCACACTCTGCCCCAGTCTTTTGAACAGGAGTAGAGGTATCTGTCTATATTTCTGAGATGAGGTATTATGTACACTATTTACATTATTTGGACTATTGTCCTCATCTTTGTCACCATATTTATAAATATGGCGACAAAGATGAGGACAATAGTCCAAATAATGTAAATAGGAGTAGAGGTTTATCCCTTGTTTCCTGTTTAGGATTGTGTTTCCCATTCCTTCTAAAGTATTTTTCATTCTCTTTCACTCCCAGTAACCACTTGCACCTTAGCCTTGCCTTGCTTGGTGGTGAACTGATTAAAAAAAGAAAAACAAAAGTAAAGCAATCTATAAGAGTGACAAGATACAGAGTATTTTGTCACTCTTATCTGAGGATTGTGAGACAATAGAATCAATATCTAAGTGTCCATATGAAACTTTTAGTCATGGAAACATGAGTATTGTTTATATATATATATATATATATATATATATATATATAAAATAAGTTAATGAAGGGTTAGGTAATCCATATGGATAATTCCAAAGTTGATATAATCACTTTTTCTTAATTATTTATATTTATATATATATATATATATATATATATATATATATATATATATATAACAGAGAGGTTATAGTTGTGCCAATGAGAGAAAAGTGCATATTTTAAAGAAAAGTGAGAGGCTACAAACGTTTTTTGGTTATAAAATCCACATTGTAACCAAGAACATTTATGCTTCTCTTTTTCTTTAATGTATATATATATATATATATATATATATATATATATATATATATATATATATATATATATATATACAAATGTAAGAATGAAAAAGAATATAAATTCAAACATAATTAATTTAAAAGAGGGTTCAACACCAAAAGTAGTGCAATATATATATATGTAACAACTTAACTATATATATATATATATATATATATAAAAAGTAAGAGGTTATAGTGGTTCCAACGAGAGAAAAGTGTGTATATTAAAAAGAAGAGAAGAGAGGTGCTGCAAACATTTTTGGTTGTAATGTGGATGTTTTTAAAAAAAAATATGTTTTATTTTCCATAATTTTACTACACGTGTTTCTGTTCTCAGACAGTGATTTCCACATATTAAAAATAATTATTTTTTTCTTTGTGTTTTTCAATGTTAAATATTCTTGATATGAGACATTCTCTGTTTTTGTGTTAGTAAGCCGAATGTCTTTCTTGAATTGGCAGTCAATTCACTGCCAATGGGAAAATAAAGCATAATATTTTTTTTTTAAAAATCCACATTACAACCAAAAACTTTTGCGGCACCTCTCTTTCTTTCTTTTTAATATATACATATATATATATATATATATATATATATATATATATATATATATATATATATATATATATATACATATATATATATATATATATATATATATATAGGGGTTAAAAGCAAAATTGTCCAATTGTTAGATTAAGATCTGAACCATTGTATCTTAGAAATGATTAAAGATATCTTACTGGAATTCTTCAAAGTTTTTATAATGGTACTGGACTCTATTTCGAGCAATAAAAATGTATAATTACTCTCCAAGCTTAACAGAAGTATAGTATTGAAAATGATCATGAAAATGATATGTTCTTAATTAATTAATCCTAGCTAAGGATCGGAAGCTCATAAAGTATTGAAATTAAGTTCAAATATATATATATTATTCTAGAATCATTTTCCAACTTATTCAAGATGATTTTTCACCCTCTCTAACCTTCTAACTTTCTGTCCTGGAATAACAAGGTACCTCACACATTTCATGTATGATTTTATTTTCAAGTCTTTTTTCACTGCTCGTTGGATTGGCATAGCTGAAACTCCTCTCTCACATGCCAAATGTCTTATGGACTGAGTTGGATCTTTTCTAATTGATCTCTTTAGCTCTAAGTTGAAATGATGCTCCCTCTTCCTGTTGTAACCTGATTCAGTTTTCCTCTCAAGTGTTTCCTCTTTTTTGAACTTATTCACGGTTCTCTTGATGGTTCTTGAATGGACTTTGAAGATGGAAGCCAGACTATGAATGTTGGTACCATTACTGAAGGCCTGAATGATCCTTTTCCTCTCACCATTGCTCAGTTGGGAAGACAGTGGGTCTGACACAAAATGATTTTAACCTGCTCTCTTTATAGCTGAATAACAAAGGATTTTTCATGGATTCTTATGAAAAATGGTGTCAAGATGGCTAAATGTCCTATCTGAAAACCTGGTGAAAAGAAACTCAATTAGTTTAGTGTTTTTTAGGTATTAAGCATTTTGTGGGATGGATAAATATGCTTTTTACCTGATTTTGACAATTTTGCTCTTATACCCAAACATTGAAGTCAGCACTCAGAGGCAACAATCTGTTTCACTTATTGACTTCAATGTCCACTTTTATATCTACATATGCTCTATCTCTGATATTGAGCATTTTAACTAGGTACCTCCACGAAATCGCTAAAAAAAAG